ACAGTGAGCCTCTTTCGTTTTGAAGGTAATTTCTCTATCTCTATAAAATAGATGTGCATGGGCCTGCACTTCAGGACTCACCCTAATACACACACAGGTGCTGGGAAATGCATTTAGAGAATATTAATTATATGCACTGAAGCCTTGATATCACCTCAAGCACCACTGTGTCTCTAATATTATGACATCATCTCTGGTTCTGAGTGGGGCCACCCAAAAGCAGAATGTGTTTGTCTAGGGATGTGATAAGTAGCTTCTAAAATTTTGCAAAAAAAGTTTTTTGTTTTTTTTTTTTGAGATGATGAGCCTCTCCTGGATTAGAATGATGCTTTTATCTGGAAATGATGAACAGTTTGGAACAGGTATGTATTTTTTTAGGAAGATTGCTAAGTGACATAATTTGCGAGTTTTTACCCAGAAATGTTGACAGATCTTTGCTGGAGGAAGAAAAAGAGAGGTTAGAATCCAAAGGAACACTATATTCTACCACCTTGTCCTCCCACTAACCCCCCCACCCCCCAAAAAACTGAGACCATTTGCTGGCAGTTGTCAGTGACACTGAGTGTCAGGTTTGCTTCATTGGGCACACAGAAAAGTGGGCTGCACTGGCCTCCCTTAGGCAGTCATGCCTCAGGGTGGCAGTGCTAAAGAACATCCTCTATGAGGGAAGATGGGCGGTATTGCCTGGGTGGGGGCAGCAATCAGGCCCCAGGACCAGTGCCAATGGATGGTTTAATCCAGCATCAACTCGTCAAGAACAGGGCTTTCAACATGTTTCTTACAGGCATGGTTTCAGGGTTTAAAATACATTGCCTGTCAATGTATGACAAAAACCCACTACAATACTGTAAAGAAATTAGCCTCCAACTAATAAAAATAAATGAAAAAAAAAATACATTGCCTTTAAAAGTGAGGAAACCTTTTAATATATGCTCTATGAGTGGGGCTAATAGTCCAGCAGGAAAAGCACAATGAGTAAATTCATGAATTCTTCTGGTTTCCATTTTGAAATAACTCATCTTTAGTAATGTCTGTGACGGCCCAAACCCTTTATGGAATAGGGAATTTAGACACATTCATCACACTGTTATTCGTGGCGGGAGCCTTGATTACGCATCAGCAGTGGCCAATGACACAGACAACTGTGTGGAGAGAGAGCTTAACAAAAGCCCAGGCTCTTGCAAGTTCTACCTCCATCCCAAGAAACCCATCCCCCTCAGACAGCTGCTTTTGAATAGTAACACCTGTGATAAAGGCTGACAGTAACCAAAAGTCATGATCAGCACCTGAAGCCCATAAACGGTCTCTTGCTCAAAATGAACAGAAATCTGAGAACCAGTACAAGCTACATATGTATGTGTCAGACTATTTGAACCACAGCCCTGGATAGTTTCTGTGGCTACAATGAAGTCACTGCCACCTTCTAAGAACACAGACTTCAAGTTTAAGGCTAATTTATGACAAATGGCCAGATTCCTGCCTGCTGAATTCCCCACTCTGGGCTGCATAGTGTTTTATCGCAGCTTTCTTCTCTCCCCGGTTTGGGATCTCTCGTATGCACCCCACCTGAGTCAACACAGGACCAACCTCTGCCTCCACATCTCAAACTCCCCAACTTCAGAATAGCAACTGCAGAGAAAACAGCAGATGGGGTGTTTCAATTTCAAGTCTGGAAGAGATGAAAGTTAGTGACAGCTTCCCCATGATGTAGAGGGGAATTCAAGGATGAGAAGATCAAAGTTTCCAGCTCTCAGGTGGGGCTTGAAAGCCCAGGATAAAGCAAACATGAAACACCATCATGAGATGCACTATGGATTTACTCCTAGAGAACAATGTCACTATTCCCCTCTTGGGCTCTGAGTTTTGTGCTAATGCTTCCACCTCACACTGAGCTCAACTTTGGAGAGGGAAGACGGCTTCAGACAAAGAAGGCTTCTAAATGTTAATTTCAAGTAAATATTTTTCTGGGCCTTTCATTTGTGGATAATAAAATGGAATAATGGGTTCTTTGACATTCTCTTTGCCTTCCTAGTTAACTGTCATCAAAACCACAAGGGGACCTGGACCATTTCACATTCGGTCGTTGAATGAAGCTGTTCTTCAGGTACTAGAACTGCTTCATGACAGCTGATCAGCTGTACAATCAACTGATAGAACCAGGAACACTCAACAGCATGAAATTCATGATTTCTTCACAGAGTTCATAAACACTGGGTATGTTGTTTGTAGCTGACTTAGGTCAGAAAAAAAAAAAAAAGAAAAAAGTCAGAATGAACAACCTCCATGCCAAGTTGTTCTCCTACACCATGGCTAACAGTGAGCATTCTGTGAGAAGTTCAGTGGTGTGGCATTTTAAGAGCCCAATCTGACTTGGCAAGAGAGCTCTTGGTTTTATTCAACCCTTTGCTATCTCACAAAATTGTTACATATAACGCAGGTTTAGGCAGGATGCAAACTGAAGGCCATTACCCCTAGGAAAGATTTCACTGATCAAGACTTGAAATTCCTGTAGGTGTTTATACTTAGTCTCATTCCAGGAAAGGCACAAGGGCCCCTTGATGGCATGTTAAGGAACTCAGCTCAGTGAAGTAACATGTGGGGAAGACACGGCCAGGGCAAAAGCTAAGGACATTGATTACTAATCAAGTGTGTATGTTTCCAACAAAAAGAAAGATACCTTTGACAGTCCTTCAGTCAAAGGCTTTCCATGAAATGGTGTATTTCAAGCCAGCAACCAAAGGGATGCCGAGTGGAAAACCCAAACAAATTCAACAGATTGACATCTCTTGGGGTCCAGACACTTCCATTAGGCTGCTCTTTAACAAATTCATTTACGGAAGTGGAGAGACGAGAGCATACCCAGCCCCAGAACCATGGGGCTGCCCTGCAGAATGGGCTTAGGGTGGGGGAGGCCTGCCTCTCCCAAGGTGACTTGTTAAACTGGAGGGGGAGATCATCCATTCTGCAGCAACATTTCACTATATTTTAGCCCGTGTTGGCTATCAGATGGAGCACAGCTTCAGTGTATACGATGCCATAGGAGTGAGTTTGAATTGAACATAAAGCCAGAGAGAAGCTGGCTTCTAGTCTAGGGGGTTGTCTGTGCCCTATTCTGACCAGTAAAGGGCTGCACTATGAAGCTCACAAGACTTCGGTTCCCACTTACTGAGTTCAGCTGAGCTTTGCCAGTTGTTTAGCCAGCTATGCTGGGCTGCATGTGTACAAAGGAGCGTTGACAAAAAAATGCAATTTTCTTTTTCCTTGGGGAGCAGTTGGGGCCGAGGCGTCGGTTAGCCAGGACTGCCTCGCCTGGAAATAAATTCATGAAGTTATGCTGCATTTGAGGTCAAAAAGAACAGTACTCTGGAAAATCCTGGGCACCTCTATCAATGGACTGGCTAGAGGGGCCTGGGAGAAGGCCCTGACTGGAAGGTAAGTAAACACCCTGCTGCTGCACAGCTGTTATTAGATAATCCCTGGAGCACTCTATGCTTTGGGTTTCCATCACTAAAATGGGTATACTAATCCCTAAGGGAATTGTGGCAGAGATGAAGATCTCAATTTGAGAATAAAGTCCAAAGTTCCTGGGGTCAAGCCTTGTATACCCATATGCATTGAAACCCTGGGCCCCACAGGTATGTGATGTATGACCAGAAACCTTTCTCTGCCTTCAGGTGTCAAGGTTGAGCAGACAGACCTGGTCCTTTCTTGGGATGGAGGCTTTGGTTCAAAAGAACTGGAACTTCTTGCATTAAACAGCACTCTGGACAATAGAAAAGTTGTGTAACCCCCCCCCCCCCCCCCCCCCCCCCCCCCCCCCCCCCCCCCCCCNACCCCCCCCCCCCCGCCCCCATCCCTCCTTGTTCTAGACCAATACTACTTCGGTCTCTGAGCATCTACAAGTCCAAGAAGGTCTCCAGACTGGGAAAAATCCTATGCTCTAATAAATCTGCAAAGCTGGGGAACAAAAAAATATGGCTCTGTTGAACTGGTTCAGGTGTTCTTTAGATCCAGAATCTTTGGAATAAAAATGAATATGAAAAATGTTGCTGAGGACCCCAGCTTCATGGGTAAAGGAACCAGTCTTACGTGCCTCAGTACATGTAAAAAGTCAGATATGACTGAGTAACTGAGGGAAAACTATTCGGCACAAACATCCCACTCAAAGGGTAAGGAGGGCCAGGGTCATAGAGGCTCCTTTCTCCCTGAAGACGCACCCATTTCTCTCAAGCTCACGTGCACCTGCTCCATAATCAACCTCCAAGGCTGCCCTCTGACCCTGCCACTGGTGGGAGGTGGCAATGAGCATCACCTGCGGTTCCAACCGTCCCTGGAAACACACTGGCTTGGGCCCAGAAGTCTCTAGCTTTTGTTTGAGTGGCCTTCCCAGCAGAACCATAGCAGACAGTTAACATTTATTCATATGCAATACTGATTAGGAAAGAGCGCTACAAACACAACTTACTTAGAAATAGCAAGTCAGAAATAGGCTAAAACACCAAGAGAAAACGAGCTGTAAATACATTGCAAAAATGTGTTTTTCTTTTTTGTTCATGTTGTTGTTTTCATCTTGACTAGCACCATCTGTACACAAGAAAGTATGAACATAAACGTTTGGATAATAACAAAGATTTGCAAGGCACTTAATCAGTCATTCGGGGAAACCTGTTGTTTTGTTTTAGCTTTCCACAACAATCCCACGTCCACTCTCCCCTTTTCTCACAAACCAGGAGAAGAGGGAGGTCTCTTTTGCCAGCAGTTCTTATGTACAAACAAGTTCTTCAAAGTTCCTCAAAGTGCTTTTTCAGTCTCACGGGGGCTTCCACGTCCCTTGGGCTTCCCATCATTCGCTCCTCTCCTGCGTGTCTGGTGTCTGCACCGTCCCTACAGAAAACAAAAGAAAAACTCGCCTTCCGCTCCACGCTCACTCCAGACTTGCCTCCAACCTTCGTCCTCCTTCTGTGGTCTCTGAGCGGCGCCCGGCCGGGGGGCGGCTCCCGTCAGCGGCGCCGGGAGGTGATGTCGAAGCAGGTGATCATCATGAGGTGCGCCTTGCAGAAATTGACGCGGCTCTCCAGGCGCTCCGTCACGCACTCCAGCGCTTCCAGGTACTCCAGGGAATCCAGCTCCAGAACCTGCTCCAAGTCAACTGCAAAGAAGGAGAAGCCCCATGGGGATGCGCCGCCTGCAGGGAAGGATGACCCGACGGCTCGGCCCCAAGGCTGCTGCGCCTGCGCCTGGAGGCCTTAGCACCGCCATGCCCTCGACCCTCTGCAAGTCGGGAACAGACCCCTTTGCTACTTGCAACTGTACTGGGGCCCTCCGTTCTAATGATAACACTAGATCCCCGACATTTAATTGAGGCTCTCTGTGTGTGCTAAGTTGCTTCAGTCTTATCCGACTTTTTGCTACTCCAGGCTTCTCTGTCCATGGAATTTTCCAGGCAAGAATACTGAAGTGGGTTGCCGGTTCCTTCTCCAGGGGATCGTCCCCATCCAGGGATCTGAACCCTGCGGTTCCTCGGTGGTAAAGAGCCCACCTGCAATGCAGGAGACATTAGAGATGAGGGTTCAATCCCTGGGTGGGGAAGATCTGGTGGAGGTGGGCATGGCAACACACTACAGCATTCTTGCCTGGAGAATCCCCATGGACAGAGGCACCGAACAGGCTACTTACTGTCCATAGGGTCGCAAAGAGTTGAACAACTTAGCATGAAAGCACATGTTAGTAACTAGATTCTTAGACTCACAAAGAACAGACTTGTATTTGCTAAGGGGCAGGGCGGTGAGGGAGGGAACTGGGAGTTTGGGATTAGCAGATACAAAGTATTATATATAGGATGAATAAACAGCAAGATCCTACTGTATAGCACAGGGAATTCTATTCAATATCTTGTGATAAGCCATATGGAAAAAACATTAAAATGTATATATATATTTATATAAATGTATATATATATGTGTGTGTGTGCATGCAACTGAATTATCTTGCTATACTGCAGAAATTAGCACATTGTAAATCAACTATACTTTGATGAAAAATAATAATAATTACAATTCTTTGCTCAGAAGACAAGCAAGATTTAGGACCCAGATTCTGTCCCTAAAGTTCAGACCTGCACAGAGTTAAAAGTCTATTTCCTTCAGTTCCTCAAGGGCAATTATCTGAGGCCACCTCTCCTGCGCCACTGGCCACTAGTTGGTCCAGCTGTGACGGGTAGGGTGGTGAGCTGCTGCAGAGTGTCCAGCATGGGAAGGACAGGCGTGGACAGCAGCCAGGGCAGTGGGGTGACCTTGGAATCCAAGGCAGGAGACCTGCACTTGACTCCCAAGAAGACCACACCTAACCTTTGCTGGCACAGGGTCCTTAAAAGACATGCGAGTCATCCCTAGTCTGCCTACTTTCCTAACTAGAGTTGCTATGGAGAGCAGAACCAAATAGAAACGATGAATGTGAATGTGTGGTTTGAGAACTGTAATGAGCTATCAGAAAATCTGGGGTGGAAATCAGGGCTAACTTCTTTTGTAGGGGAGTTAACAGAGCTCAGAGAAGGGATGTGTCCTGTTCAGGGTTACATAGTTGATAAGGACAGGGGCTCAGAATAAGATGGAGGCTCCTGAATACCAGTCTAAAGTAAAAAAACCCTCCCCACACCATAGCTACATCAGCCTGTGTTATTGGATCACCTTGAAAGTGGCATCAGAATTAGGAAATTTGAAAAAAAAAAAAGAAAGGATCCCAGCACATATATTTCTATGCCAACACCCTGCCTATTATCCAGGGAATAGTCAGCATACAGCCTCATTGATTTTTTTTTTTTTTTTGGTCATTCTTGATTTTAATTCATCTTGAAGGGCCAATCTCTGTGCTTCTCCTTTCATGTGGCCTTCTGTTCATTACCTTTCTCAGCATAAAAAAAAAAAAAATCACTATTCCTGATATGAACAAAGGCAAGAAGGAAGCAATTGTGTCCTGGAAGCATCTACATTTCTACCAATGTTTAAGCAGCTCACTTCCTGGGAAAAGTGTGACTTTGTAAGATGAAGACAATTGTCAAGGCTGCCTCAGGCATAAACAGCTCTCAAAAATGTTAATGAAAGGATAAAAAAGGAAGAAGAGGAGCTGCTGAATGGGTGCCCCTGGGATTCTGAAGTGCCAGAGGATTCATGGAAGAAGGAAAAGGGTGTGTACAGGTGGGAGAGACCAGCATTAGGCTCCATGTTTATGCCATGGCCAGACTTCAGCTAATGTCCTTGTTTGTGTCTTGTCTGCCCCATTATGGCTTAGAGGGAAATACCCTGGAGAGCAGGAGTTCGTGTCTCTGTCAGGATTTCTTACGAGGTTCCCCCGCCCCGGTGCATCAGGCAACCAGGCACTGAGGAAATCAAATTCCTCAGCCCTTTGAGAACGGCTATTTTCATTAACTCTGATAATACAAACACTAATTACTACTAGATACTGAGCTTTCATCACAGGCAGGCCGTGTAAGTAGCACTCGACCGACAGTAGCTCATTCACTCTCCCAACAACTCTATGAGATGGGCAAACCATTATGTTTCCCATCTGATGGTTAAGGAAATCAAGGCTCAGAGAGGTTAAGCGTCTTACCCGAGGTCTCACAGCCACACCCAGAGCAGCTCTGCATGACTGTGGCTGACATCACACATGGTATAATGCAACATGATAAGATGCATCATGATAACTGGCCCCAGTGTCCTGTCCTCCTATTGGTTTGTTTGATCCGCACATGAACCGATGAGGTACTCAAGGGTGATGTTATTACTGCATCGTTATGGAAAGGAAGCCACCTGAAGACATGCTGTGAAAGTGGCAGGCACAGCTAGGAGGCTGGCAAATTCTGTCCTTTCCTCTTTGCTCAGGATCATTTCACCCAGTATTTTTCTTAAACCTCAGCTCCAGTCTCGGCCTGTCATGCTCCCTGCACTGACCTGGGAATGCTGGGAAGAGGTGCTGTGACCTTTAGGGGTCAGTCGTGAAGAGAGGGAGGCACAGGGAAAAGCTGGTGAGTTCGGGAAAGGAAAGGAGGGAAAGGAATTCTAGTGGAAGTAACACATTTTATTCCAGAGGCTAAGTTATCCGGCATTGGGCCACATATCATTGAAACAATTGGGACCAGATCTGAGCTTTATTTTGTGGTAAATGGAATGGTTAGGAACAAATAAATAAGAGACAATTGAATCCATCTTTCAAAGAGAGCAAAATTGTTCTGAATTGTTACTAGATGGTCGGTGTCATCCTGGGCTTTCTATTAAATGGAAATAACACTGCAAATGTTATTCTTTTCACTCAAAAATGTAGGGTTTTTTTTCTTTCTTTTTTTGCTTTCTGGGTTCTTTGTGAGGCTTTTCTAGGATTGCACATTCTACCCTATTAAGAGCTCTATAAATTCTTGTCTATTTCAGGCTAGATATGCAATGTGATTTTGTGGCCTGGGAGCAGATTTGTAATATAGCCTTCACGTCTGGGTGATCGTCCACCACATGCAGAGGAAGAAAAAAATATCTCATTTTCAGGTGGTCTGGACTGAGACACACAAGAAATAATCTGGCAAGAGCAATGGTCACCACCCCACTGCCCCTGCTCCCCATCTGCTCCCAGGAGAGTGGGATCGAGCTCAGGGAAGCTGTCTGTAGACGATGGGCAGGGGTGGGGTTCAGACAGCGTCTGTGTCCCTCAGCCTGGTCTGTTTAGTGGGTGAACCCGGGAGTCATAATGATGGGCCTTACATTCACTGAGCCACTTGTTAGGGTCTAGCATCAGATACTGCTTGGTCGTCTCCAGCTCCTTCATCAGCCATTCGTACTTGGCTCGGACCTCCGCGATTCTCTGCTGGCGATGCTCCAGAATTTTCAGTTTTGCGTTAAAACACATGACCTCCTAGGACACAGATGAGAAGAGGGGAGGAAACGGGGACCTTCAGCTCCAATCCAGCCCACGCAACCTCTTCTGGAAAGGAATACTTCGCTTATAGTCTGTGCAAGGAGGGCGCAGGGGGCTCAGCTCTGACGCACACACACAGGACAGAGCTATCACAAGTTTATCCCAAATTTAGAAGGCGGTTGGCGTCCCAAGCTGGAGCCAGAAAGGCCCAGAGAGCCCACCAGCTCTCCCGGTCTGTGAACCTTCCACGTCTCCAGGTGGAGAAACAGGCGGCTCTCCCGAGGAGCTGGGTGCACAGGCCTGGCTGCCGGCAGGAGCCCTCGCCTCCCCCCCGCGCGGAAGCCGCTGGGGGTCTCCGGGGCCTCCGCCCCGTCTCAAGCACTGCTCCCTGGGGGGCGTGGGGGGTGGTGCGGGGTGGGGGACGCTCACCTTGCTGCTGCCCCCTCGGCGCCGCTGCAGCCGCTCCACGTCGTCGATTTCATAGACTTTAATCTCAAAAGGTTCCCCGAGGCCCCTCTGGGTGCTGCGCAAGGGGCCGTCCACCCAGCGAACCCCCGCGCTATTGGTGGGTTTTCTCACGGGGGAGGGGGTGTCAAGGGACAGCGCCGGGATGAGCCTCCGTCTCTGGGAACCTAGGTAGGGAATTAAGTCTACAGTTAATAGTTTTGAATTTCTTTTGAACATATTTTTTAAGGCGAGGGTTGGGGGCTTGAGAGGCCCCCCCACCCCCATCTGCGGGAGAGCTGTGTTTGAAATGCGCCCAAGTTCCTACCACCTCAGCATCCACTCCCTTTCACTGGCACTTGCCTTGTCTCCACAAGTTCAGAAGCCCCCACCTCCCCACCTGTGGTCTCCCCCTTAAAACACACAGGCTGCAGGACACTAGAACTGAGAGCCACTCTGGCTACACCCTCAGCATGGACATATAACATCCATGATAATATCACATGGAGTATTTTCATTGCCCTAAAAACCCGCTACACCAGACTTTTACATGAGAAATCAATCTTATATTGTTCTTGGGTTTTCTGTCATAGACAAGTCTAGTATCTAATCTAATTCTCACAGAAAGGTAAAAAAGACTTCAATAACTTGCCCAAAGTCTCTTATTTTAAAAAACTCATTGCCCACATTCTCCACCAAAATAAAAAAATCAGATAATAAATGATCTTCCCAAAGATGGGTTATGATTAAACACCACAGAACTTGGCCCAGAGTAGGTTGTGGTGACTGAGGATGGACAGGTGGAGTGGTACTGCAGACCAGGATGAAGACCACAGGCATGGATGGTGATATCTCAGGATGCTGTCACTGCCTGTATTCTGCTTCATGGTTACGATCTTACCTGTATCGTGTTCGTTAAACATCGTATATTTTACCCCGAGTCTGAGCGGAGGGAATCTGTTTGTGAACTGGGAAACCAATGGTGGCCTCCCTGTGAAATGAGTTTGATTGCTGGGTCTACAGCAAGAAGCCACTGTCATCCTTGTGGATCTTCTTGAAAAATTGACCCAATAAGCATCTGGCTCCAAAGTTTGCCCATCTCTTGGATTCTTGATACTCTTTAGCTGCTGGTGTCTGTATTGTGTTTGTGGTATTTGCTTGCAGTGCCCCTTGATATCTGGGACCCCAGAGATATCTGGGAAGAGGGGTGGACCAATATTGTAAGGGTCAAGCAGAATATGTAGGGGTGAGGTGCACCGTTATGCCACTTAAGATGGCTGTTCTCTTGCTTTCTATGCATCCCCTGTTTAACCAGTCCCGGCCTCATTCACATGACTATCCAATCCTCTTAATTCTAGGGCTTAATCAATCCCTGGTAACCAATGAGACCACCTGACATCAATTGTGCCTATAAATGGTAGCCTTCTTCCCTGAATAGTGAAAACTGCTGTCGTGTCCTGCCTGTTGCACAAGGTGGGGTGTAACTCCAGGACTCTTTGTGTAAGATCCCCTGTCCCTAAACTATTGATGTTTCTCAGCTCTTTCTTCGATCTGGGCCAACTATAAAGTTTGCAGGCCTGTGGGGTGCAGCCCAACACATACCATGCAGATTTGAGCCCTAAGAGGCAGGTCTCTAGAGGATTATAAAAAGCAATCACTAAAGGACTGTCAGGATGGGGGGCCCCAATGCACCAAGCACCACTTTTTTTTGGTTACTGATGGCATGAGTGAGTGAAACCATGGCCTGGCTTCTGAGGATGGGGTCTAATCTTTTCACCCACATCTGAAGTGGATCTAGCTTCCTGCTTTGGATGACTACCAGGTTTGTTCCCCTAGCTCTGGCCCCTCTCCCAGTAGGAGGCTGCAGGCCTGGCCTCCTGGAAGCGAAGCCTGGTGCAGCCTCAAACAGCTGCATCTCCTGAGGCACACACCCACCTGGCACCTTCTTTTGCCAGGACCAGACTTTAGGAAGCTTGCTTTCTCCTGGAAGAAGGATGGTTGGGAAACATGACACCATCTTGTTTGAAGCTGAAGGGAGCCTGATCTAATTTAACTCAGAATGAATATGTGGTCCCTCCTGCATCTGAGGGAAGACAATGGAGTCTGCGGGAAGCCTTGGCTAGCTGCACACACAGTCTGAGCTGATTCTGCTTTGAGATAGAATGTGTGTCTGCGCCCAGTCACTCAGTCATGTCCGACTCTCTGCGACCCCATGAACTGTAGCCCACCGGGCTCCTCTGTCCCTGGAATTCTTCAGGCAAGAATACTGGATTGGGTTGCCAGTCCCTTCTCCAGCGGATCTTCCCAGCCCAGGGATCGAACCCAGGTCTCCTGGCATTGTAGGTAGATTCTTTACTCCCTGAGCTATCAGAATGGATCTCATTAAAGTCAGATTTGAGTGAGAGTGAAGGAGGGCAAGAAAACATACACACCATAATATGGCAGCCCTGAGAATATGAAGGATACAAAGCACTGAGGCTTTTCTGGAGGCCCCAGGAGATGGGCTGTATTGGGCAGTGGGCTGCTGTTGGGGGAAGCGCTGGTCCTTATAGCACCATCCTTGTGGTGTTTGGGGAACTCTGGAGGAGTGAGTGCCCTCTCTCCCCCACCCTCCCTCCATCTTCCTCCCTATTCCAGTTGGTTCTGCTTGTTGCATGCTGGGCCAGTGTGGCCTGTGTGACGTGATGACCCTTCCAAAGAGAAAGACACTGTAATTTTCTCCAACTTCAAGAGATCCAGTGACTGTTAAGGAAAGCTTAAAATACCACAAGCTCAGAGAGAAAAAGAGCCAGAACTCTTTGAAATAGAAGCAGGGGGCCGAGGCACAGGACAACCTTCTCACCAATGTAGGGAGGTAGGAATGTGAAAAGCCGCTACCTGCAGCTCCAGGCGGTGGCAGCGTTGGTGGCACAGCACTCAGGGCAGTGTGTGCCTGTTCAGAGTGCGGGTGAGCGGTCTTTCCTGCAGGAGACAACGAGGGACTCTAACCACAACCTTAACTTTCCCTACAGAGCATACTCTGTCCTCCAGGCTCCCTTGGTTTCATATCAAATCTCATTTTGGGGGGCCATATCTTTGTCTTGGGTATGGATGCATGTGCAAACACACATGCATACACACACTAACTTATGAAACTAGGAAGTGTCAACCACTGAAGATGTCAACCACGGAAGTGAATATCTATCTCCCTTACAATGGAAAGGAACCAGCCGGTAGTTTGGGTTTTTTTTTCAATTGGTCTGATCATGCCAGCTGACTCAGAGCAAGCGATTCTGCCTTTGGGGCTCAGTGCCAGTGAGACATGGCTGCTGCAGGACATGCACGGAGGCCAAAGAACACCGAGCATCAGTGGGAAGATGTTCAGCTCTCAGATCAGCTCTCAGAGACAAGGAGAGTCTGAGCATCCTTCAGGTGAAGGCTTGGCCCTCATTCCTCAGACTGCAAACACTTGTGATGGGACTCCTGGTAAGCCCTATGTTCTCAGCTGGATAACGTATACTCAGCCCCTAGGGAGGTTGTGCATGCTGCAAGTGCTAAGTCGCCTCAGCTGTGCCCAACTCTTTGCGGCCCTATGGACCATAGTCTGCCAAGCACCTCTGTCCATGGGGATTCTCCAGATAAGAATACTGGAGTAGGTTGCCATGCTCTCCTCCAGGGGATCTTCCTGACCCTGGGTTTGAGCCCATGTCTCCTGTGGCTCCTATACTGCAGGTGGATTCTTTACCACTAGCACCATCTGGGAAGCTATATGGGCATCTCAGTGCACCCATCTCACTGGGTGCATGGGTCCAGACATTTCTGGGATGACTCTAAGAATCTGTTTATGCAAGAAAAAGGGGAAGAACTGAGGAAGCTCATGGGATGGATGGTGTATCACTTATCTATCACTGTGTGACCAATTACCCTAAACCCAGCAGGTGAAAATAACAAATGTTGGTTCTCTCACACGTTCCTATGAAGCAGGGATCTGGGAGAGGCTGATGGAGCAGGTAGTTTTGGCTCAGGGTCTCTCATGATCTGCAGTCAAGTTTTCAGCTCACGAGATGGGGCTGCCGTCATCTTAAGGTTTGACTGTGGCTGGAGCATCCACTTCTAAGCTCATGTCGTGGCTCTTGGCAGGAGTTTCAGTGCATTGCCTGGTGGGCCTCTGCACAGGGCTATTTATGGCATGGCAGCTGGTCTACCCAGAGCAAGAAAGAGCAGCTCCAGTATCTTTCACAATCTAATCTTGAAAGTGACATAACCATCACTTTCATCTACCTTATTCAATTGGACACAGAGACCAACCCTAGTAGAGTATGGGAGGGGATGAATCAAGGGTGAGGCCAGGAGGCAGGGGTCCATTGGGGAACACCAAGGAGTCTCCTTACCAGAGATGGGAAAATATCAGGTATTAGGGTCACTCTCTACTAGCCTCCTCATCTCTCCAGGGCACCCCATGAGATGGGAGCAGAGATCACTCTGATTGATGAGAGAAAAGTAAAGAAGCCTGAAAGGAGAATGACATTTTACAGGGCTACAATAGCCTGGTAGAGATATTCTGAAGGTTAATTCCTGTTATCTTTTTTCCATGCTTTTTTGCAATCTTCTCAACTTCCTCACCATGTCAATCAACTGCTGCCAGGGTGAGAAGTGAGTGCCCAGCGTCAGGTGAATTGCAGTCTAAGGGCTTCTCCTGTGTGTAGTGATTGGCAATCTTGGATTTTCTCAGTGCTGAAGTTCAGTTCAGTTGCTCAGTCATGTCTGACTTGCGACCCCGTGGCAGCATGCCAGACCTCCTTGTCCATCACCAACTCCTGGAGTTTACTCAAACTCATGTCCACTGAGTTGGTGATACCATCCAACCATCTCATCCTCTGTTGTCCCCTTCTCCTCCCACCTTCAATCTTTCCCAGCATCAGGGTCTTTTCACATGAGTCAGTTCTTCGCCTCAGGTGGCCAAAGCACTGGAGTTTCAGCTTCAGCATCAGTCCTTCCAATGAATATTCAAGATTGATCTCCTTTAGAATTGATTGCTTGGATCTCCTTGCTGTCCAAGGGACTCTCAAGAGTCTTCTCCAAGACCACAGTTCAAAAGCATCAATTCTTCAGCGCTCAGCTTTCTTTATGGTCCAACTCTCACACCCATACATGACCACTGGAAAAACCATAGCTTTTACTAGATGAAACTTTATTGACAATGTCTCTG